ACAGAAGAGGCAATGTAGGTTCTGTACCACTACAACAAAATTATCCCTCAGTGATTCCTCTTCTAACTCTTCAAAGTAATGTTTAAAGACCTGTCATGAAATTTGTACAAACACAACTCTTAGCGAAACTCATACAGGTAGCGTACTGGGTTATAGACCAAATACAACAAAAGAGCTACGGTCTCAAATTACAAATGGTGCTTACATCGACTACTCGGTGTAGGAATAGAAGGAGGCTAGCAGCATTACAGTTCTGGCGGGTTGCGGTCATGAGATAAACATTGTTGTGTTGGATGAACATGTATGTTATTCCATTGTCATGTACAACAGGATCCTGACTCTCTGGATCACCCTATATCATTTGTTTAAAAAAAACTTTACTTGTGTGTTTAATCAAGGAACGTGAGAAACACACACACACACACACACAATAAAGAAGCACCGACTAGTAAGTGATAAGACGAATAATAGGAATTCAATAAATTCAGAAAAATATTTGAATCTGTTAGCTTATTAGACACCAAAATTATGAATACGGTGTCCATAGGGGCAAAAAGAACAAGCTATAGCTACATCAAGGGCAAAAAGAACAAGCTATAGCTACATCAAGTCGCAAAGCGAAACATCCCGACTGATGAGATGATTAGATGAATAATAGGAAAGCACTAAATTCAGCAAAATATTTGAATCCGCTAGCTTATTAGACACCAAAATTACGAATACTGCACCAGACTAAAAGTCTAAAATCACACATTTTCCAATCACACGCCAAAATGATCTCCATAGGGACAAAAAAAAAGAAGCTAAATCACCAGTTACATCAAATCCCAAACCGAAACTTCCTGAATGGTTAGATGAATAATACGAAATCCTAACTTCAGCAAACTATTTAAATCAGTTAGCTTATTAGACACCAAAATAATTAATACTGCACCTGACTAAAATCACTAATTTTTCTATTACACACTAAAATGATCTACATAGGGGCAAAAAAGAAAAGCTATATCTTCAAGTTACATCAAATCGCAAAGCAAAACATCGGACTGATAAGATGAATAATAGGAAAGCCCTAAATTCAGCAAAATATTTGAATCAATTAGCTCTTTAGACAACAAAACTATGAATACTGCACCTGACTAAAATTCACTTTTTTTTCAATCACACGCCAAATTGATCTCCATAGGTACAAAAAGGACAAGCCAAATCACCCGAGTAACATCAGATCAAGCTTGAAATTCGCACAAATACATCCTATCCATCTCACTACAGCTCCACAAGTAGAAAAATCAATCACTCGCTGCCCGAGATTCAAACATATTTTCAAATTGGCCAAGCCCATCTTCTATTTGCAAAGCAGTGGGTACAAAAAAATCGGAAAGAAACCTCACCTCCTTCTCGATGAGCTTGGTGAAGAAGCGCTCGGCCTGAACGGCTGAGACGTCCCCACGGTAGTCGCGCCACACCAGAACCCTACCCTTTATGTCCAGTAGGAACAGCGCCGACGCTGCTCCCGCCATGTCCTTTCCGTCCGAGGTGATTGATTTTCAGTTTCTTCTATCGCCGGCGACCATATAGATCACGAGCTGATCGGAAACAATGGCAATGAGATCTAATGGCGATTTTGTTGGTTAATTGGGAAATTGACGGGCAAGATCGGCATCTATTTCCGTCTGAGGAATGTTTTACTCTGCTATTTTCTTCACATAATGGACATGGTTGAAATTTCCGGGTTGTCCACTCAGATTTAGATCGGGTTAATTTCCAACCCGTATCCAACTATTTAAAGCCCAAACGGTTTGTATATTTTTTTTAAAAAATTTTACTTCACTTTTTTTTTTCATATGACATCCAAAATAAAAATGGGTAAGGCTACAATCCCGGAACCATTCCGTTGGGATTTGTAACCGTTAGATCAAGCATCATGGACGATTACTTGATGATCTAACGGTTACAATCCCAACGGAATGGTTCCGTAACGGAATTGTAGCATTTTCTAATAATATATAAATCATTCATTAAAGAGTTCTGAACAAAAAAAGTGTAATTTAGAAACAAATAATAAATAAATCAACCACCAATCAGCATTCATAAATAGTGAAAGTTAGCATATTTGTAACTAAAAAACAAAACTTACTGAATATGGAAATAATAAAAATTTTATAAGTGAACAAAGTAAATTTTTTCTCAAACTTTTTGAGGTCATTTTGTAGAAAATTAGAAAAGGAGTGGGTGTTCAAGGCCATTCTTGTGATCGGTCCATTTTTATCATTTTTTAGGAATCGGAATCAAAATTGAAGTTGGTAAAATGTAATTAGTTCGGTTTATGTACTAAGCTTTTGTAGAAACTGAAAAAGAAACGAACCATTTTATAATTACATGTCATCATTTTATAACTCGGTTAATTCAATTCTACGGGTAGTCGAGTTCTGAGAATCGAATTGTGAGAAGAAGACCGTTGATTGGCGATTATGAGTTAAGAACTAGTTATTATTTTTTATTACATAAGAACAAAGAACCATTAATGCAAAAAAGAAAGTCCGAATTGATTATTATTTTTTAAACTAGTTATTTTTTGTTCAATTTCATGGTTATCGGGTATAAACTATAAAAACATGAGCTCTAGTAAATCTCTCCATTTGATAACAAGTGATTTCCATTTTTTACACGTACCATACAATTTTCTTGAAAAAATTATTTTACGCTTTTTTATTTATCAATGTTTTTGTTTAATAATTTGAAATTGTATGTTAATTACCAGTAAGAAAATCAGTGGGGCTGCAGGATATTTGCATGTCTATTATAATTATTTATGCTCCTTCAAAACTCTCCATCCATTTTTCCCCTTCTTGAGGCCTAAAATCCCTGCCAGCCACACCGCCCCATCTCTATATATATAGACCTTCCCATATGAACGGCCCAGCACAACACATATCCGGGCCCGAACAACAAAAGTCCAGCTATGGCCAACGGAGGAATGTTCCTTTGGGCAACATTCCTATCGCACGCATTGTTCGGCCCTCTGCTCGTCTCCGCCCACCACGGCCACCTCCACCACCACCGCTTATGGCGGCCGCATGTCCCGGGCCTCGACATCATCAACCGCCCGGTACAAAATTTTGACGACTTTGCCAAAATCATAAAGGGTATGGAGGGTGGTGAGTCCCTTCCTCTCCTCCTCGAGCCCGCCATGCAGAAGCCCAAAAGACACGAGCAACACGGTTTGCAGGCTCCGTCGACGGGCCCCAATCCCGTGGATGGGTCGGGAAATGGAGCCCAACAACAAATCGAGTCGACTTCAGAGGCCCAAATACCGGAGCCAACACCAGGAGCCCATATACCAGAGCCCACGACTCTGGGGGCCCTACCGCCAGAGGCCACGACGTCGGGGGCTCTGCTGCCAGAGGCCACGACGGCCCTGCTAGAGGGATTCTACGAGCAGAGCTGCCCGCAGGCCGAGCAGATCGTGAGCGAGGTCATCAACAAGAACTTTCAGAAGGACCCTACCCTCGCTCCCGCTCTAATACGCCTGTTTTTTCACGATTGTTTCGTCACGGTACGGGGTTGTTTGTTGAGTTAAATTTGAGTGAGATTTTGAGTTTGTATTAAAATCCCTCTTATATATTAATCCAGAACGTGTTGAACCTATGTGGCGGGTTCGCATACTTCGGGATCCTATGTGACAAAATTACATGCTTCGTTATTAGGCTTAATAGATTTAATTTACTTCTAATCCAAAAATATTTAGGTTCGAATTATCTATAAATTATTTATGGTAAGGTGGGCGTGGTCCGGAACGGTCCTAGATTTGACTTATCCGGATACCGATCCCACTTTTATGAATCGGTCCATGAACGGCCCGGGACGAGGCACCGTCCCCACCCATGTAATACATGGGTGTTGTACTAGTAATATTTAAAATAAAACTATTAAATATGATTTGATGTAAAAGTAGGAGATAGAGATTGCAACTGATGAGTAGTGAATTAAAATTAGATGTGATGTGTGAGGATGATTGATTAATATTACTTAATTATTCCGTTTCCACCCGATTGACTTCACCAACTGACTCGACTCGACTTGCCAAAACACGCAGGGTTGCGACGCGTCGATCCTACTAGACCGGACCCCAACAGGCGAGCCCGTCGAGAAGATGGCCCCACAGAACGGCAAGTTCGTCCACGGGTTCGACGCCCTGGACGAGGCCAAAACCCGGCTCGAGGCCGAGTGCCCCGGCGTCGTCTCGTGCGCGGACCTCCTCGCCTTTGCCAACCGCGAATCCCTCGTCTTAACTGGCGTCCCTTCGTACCCCGTCCCCGCGGGCCGGCGTGACAGTCGAGCCTCCCTCGCGAAAAACACCGAGGCCGACGTCCCCTTTCCCCAGTCCACGGGCCAGGAGATGATCCAGCTGTTCGAGCGCAAGGGCCTGACCGTGGAGGAGATGGTCGTGCTGACCGGGGCCCACTCGGTGGGGTCCGCGCACTGCACTGTCGTGGCCGGAAGGTTCCGGGACCCGGGAAAGGCGGCGGGTATCGACAGAGGTTATTTGATGAAGATGCAGGTGATGACGGCATGCTTGAACGATACTCAGGACCTAGCATTCGACCCGCTTTCGCAGCAGAAGATGGACTCGAGGTTCTACAAGGAGCTGTTAAAGAACCGGGCATTGCTAGAGTCGGACCAGAACCTGGTGAACGAGCCGAGTGCGAATCTTGTCATGAGGAGGTACGCGGACAATCAGAATGGGTGGATGGCGAAGTTCGTGGCCAGCATTACTAAATTGGGGGCTATAGAGGTGCTCACGGGGAATCAAGGGGAGATCAGGAGACAGTGCAGGGCCGTCAACTGAATGTGTTTTTTATTTTTATTATTATTATCTTATCGATATTTTCTGGGGTGGAATTTTCGGACATTTTATGTATTCTCTGATGTATTTTGAACTGTACTTATTCGGGAGGATATATCATATATGTGCGGTTCACGAAGGTGGACCGTACGCAGGGTTGATGTAGTCGGACGAGACACAAGATATCGAAATTCATATCATACTTAAAAAAATTCTACATGTTCCCAGTGGCTTTTTATTTTTTTCCTTTTTATGATCTTTTTAATGTTTCCAGTGGATTAGCAAGTGAAAATAACTAACACATGGAGAGACATACATATAGACAGACAGAAAATTAGAGTCACTAATGAAGTTGTTACACTGAATTTTAGCTCTAGGGAAAGTTTGATTTCACGCGATGGGCTCCGTTTTTCCACAGATCTACAGTTCAATATCTCCATCCAAAACACTGATAACATCCTCTACCGTAGCCAATAAATCTGAAATACAACGAAAAACGAGGCTGTTCGTGAGGTTAAATAGCAAACATATAACGGTAAACAAACAGGAAGAAATGATCGTTTACCAGTAAAAGAAGTTCTCTCCAGGTATCGCTGCATAAACAATAAAAACAGAATAAAATTAATGTAAGGTTTTATTCACTCAGATATATATAGTGCCTCAGAGATGAGTGTCGGTTCCAACATGAAATCTTGCTAGAATGAAATAATTAATCATATAGGAAAAAGGTTTGAGGCTCTACCATGAACTGGGTTTTGAGATCGCCTTCAAGTTCCATTGGCTTTTCTGCTAGCAGTTAATTAGTTGAAATAGTGAGTACCACAGTTAAAATAAAAAACTTAATGATTCGTTTAATATGTGAGGGCAAACAACCTTCAGTAACTGCAGGGTAACAGTTCTTCATCAATTGTGAGAAACTTGGAGGAAGCACAGGCATTGCATTCGCAGGTTCATAGTCTATTATTTTTTCTGGTGATTCTGAATCTTGAACTTTATCAAGCTTAGAGCTAGGAAGCATAACTTGGGTGCTATTGACTTCTGCTGCTTTCCACTTCTGATCCACCTCATTTCTGTAATTACATCGGCATGTCAAATTTCATTTCGTCCCTGGTTTTCTCTTTTTCTAACAGCAAGAATTTACAGAAAACAATGTCAGGAATGCTCACCTGTGTGCAGGTCCATCAAAAGATATAACCTCATCTTGAGACGACATTTTGGATTTAGATACAGGGCTCCCAATCAGCTTAATTTTTCCGCTTTCCATGATTTCCTGGAGACACAATTTTTTAAGAACACAATGAATCTTTACCGAGCTTGTGATACAATAGAGACACATAAAGTTTGTAGCAAAATATTGTTATTAGTAATGTATGAACCTTCACAATAGCCATGAATGTTCCCGAATCATGGATGGTCGAAAACCGTAGAGCGAATTTCTGTAACTGCAAATGAAGCATAAACCCACTTTTAAGATAATTGAAGGAACATGTTCCATAAGCTACAAGATCTAATATGGATGCTATATCAGCTAGTTGGAAGCAACTCATCCCATTAGGCGAACAGATCAAATTGAACTACAGTTTCAACTCAAAAGAAAAAGGCCACCAACCTAAGCATGCCAATTTTAAAATCCTCATGGGAATTATATTGCACTAGAACTCAAGACCAAAAAATTAAAGAAACTCTGCTGCCGTATTTCTATGGTGATCTTCAGAAGCATACTCTTACTTGAATTTCAAAACCAGATCTGATAATTTGAAGTCAAAACTAAAAAAATCCACCAAGTGCAAGTCTAAAAGAAATAAACGAAGTCAGAACATGATGCATATTCATTAAATATAGTGGCCTGTTATTATCTGCAGAACTCCAGTTTCCAGAAATTAACCATTTTAAAGGAGACTTTCTATGTTCTCAAATTCGCATCCACCATTTCCATTACATATATCATGGCTCTCTTAACAAAATGCTTATAACAAAAGACATTGATAAAATCATGCATATGCTTGCCTGACCAACACCATCTTTGTAGCTCACAAGAACACTCCTGCAACCACGTTCTGGAAATCCTGATACACACGATACTTGGGGCCAGGAGAAATTCATCAAGGTTACGCAGTGCTCCTCCTGTAAAATCCATTGGAAAACGCACAAAAATTAATAAAATAGAATAGGGCTGAACATATGATTCATGCTTTAGCAGTATCAAACATATCGGCAAATGTAGTACACTGTACACCAAAGGCATCGTGTAATCATCCTTACTAGAGACCTAATTCATATTTCCAAATACACCACCAAAATCCAAGTACAGAGATAAATTTAGCAGTCAGGAGCTTAGTCGATCTGGTTTACCAACACAAGTAATCTAAAACGCAACCATACACAAAAATCTCACAAATCACTGAAAAAGTACAACACCACAAGCTCGAATGAAGTGATTTCAGACTTACGAGGACTTGAGACCGAATAACGACCACGATGACTGCACAGGACGCGCCAGTGGACGGCCGGCGGTACTCCAGCTTGAGAGAGGCGACGGTCGCCGATATCCAGGTCCCGTCGGTGAGTCTGCGATTCTGATAGGGCGACAGAGAGGGGTGAGTGCGCTTACGGGTGCAGGAGCTATTGCTTATGAACCGCGAGTACTGGACCTCCCATTGATCGATAACCGACGAGATCTGCGATTCGCGCGATGAGTTTTCCAAATCGGAGCTAGTGGTGGTGGAGGAAGGAGCTCGTCCTCGTCCCGCCATTTTTCCGGTCGAGCTGGTGGAGAAGCAAGGCTCGTCTTTATAGCGTCGGGTTTTTTAAACTTACAATAACACCCCGAAGATTTGATATTATTTTATAGTGCTCATCCGGCTGTGCGTGCACCGTCGGGCCGAATTTTATCAATGATTTGGCGATTGTTTATGTTTTCAACAGTAAAAAAATCAATCAAAATTAAAATTTAACTCAACTCCACTATTTCCCATATTATCAATATAATTAAATAATATCAAACAATCATTTTTACACATCACATCAATTTTAATTCACTATTCATCCACTCACATAATTTTAACTAACCATCTCTTCCAATCATTTTTCTCCTACTTTATATCAAATCAACTTTAATTATTTTATTTAAATATTATTTTAATATATCCACTAACAACTAATCATACTACTTTTTTTCAAAATTAACTATAATTAAAAAACAAACCAAATAAAAACTAGTTGAATCAATAAACAATCACCCCTAAGGGAAAAAGTTTAGTATTTAGTAACTGCACAGTCGAGTCTAATTTTGTCCATAAGTAATTGTACAATTTGAGTATTTAGTAACTGAATTTTATGATTATAATAAGAATAATTGGAACAGTGATAGATGTTTGTGAATTTTTTTGCTTTCACAAACATTGATATATTTACTATCGTCGATGAACTCCCTTCATGCTAGTCATGTATTCCGGTCATGTCCAAGAAAGTCCAAGCACAAGCATTGTTAGAGACATTGCTTGCATGTAGAATATTAACCTGCTCATCCTAAAAATGATAAGAGTAAAAAATCCATAATGTCTGTGAAATTATAAATCTGGTGTACCTTCCCATCAACCCAAAGCTTAATCTAAACCAAATTCGTGCTTTTCAGCTTCATAACGTTCAGAAACTCGTCTCTCGAACACAAAACTATACTAAATCCTCCCTAGTTCGAGCTGATGACCAATAACATCTAAAAGTCGAGCCTAGTAAGCTTTACGTAACATCTTAAAAACGAACCTAGTAAGCTTTGCATACATTGTCTAGATAATTTCGTGGAGGGTTGAGATCTGACAGACAATATGAAGGCATTAGCCTTAAAACTCTCCTCACATATAACTTCAGAAACTCATTCTGTTTTCTCGTCAAGCACAAAATCTGATTTTAAGAATTCTATCCACGGCTGGAAAATTTTCTCTCTAATTGGCCCACGACACCATGACCATACCGAATCGGAATACTTACGTAATGTACCAAGCCATTAGGAATGTGTAGCCAATTTACTTAAATATAAACGTATATACATATGTGAGCAACATGAAACCGAAAGGCGAGAGACTGTAGGAAAAAAAATGTTCTTTTGAGCCAAAACTCTTAACACAAAAAAAGAATCGGAATAGAAACGAATGTATTTTTGCCAAACCTGTTTTCCAAGCATGAAGTAATATAATATCCGTAGGGTAGCAGCAACACTACATTGCTCGGCTGGAGCATATAATCCCACTTGAATCAACGAATCAAAAACTTTGCTAAAATATCCCTCCGACCATCCATATTGTCTCAACAATTCCCTTGCAGCGACTTAGAAAAACATTATTTCAAGTACTCAGAACAAAAAAATAAAAATAAAAAATGATAGAACCAACAAACCATCATCTAGAAATGTTTCGGTCGCAACTTCTACCAACATGAACATTGAAATACTAGTAAGAAAGAAAAGAAACTACTGCAAATGTCATCAAACAAAAACCAGTAGCTTAGCTTATCAACACAGAAATGATCTCTCATCGATATGGTGCAACAACAACATTATCTGAAAAGAAAAAGATTTAATTGGGCTGAAAACTAAAACGAAATGTGGGTGAAAAATCTAATAAAAACTTAAGAAACAATTTNAAAAAAAAAAAGAAAAAGAAGAAGAAAGGAGATCCCCCGAAAAGCTGATTTTCAGTCATCGATGCCAACATCACCCCACTTGACATTGTATCGGGCTGCAAGGTAATGAGCTCCAACAGGACCTCGACTCCCATAAGGATAGTACTCTGGGATTATTTTCCTTTCTTCGAGCTCTTTCAAAACAGGTGTGAAGAGCCTCCAAGCAGCATCTAATTCATCACTTCTAATAAAAAGTCTCCTTTCACCTTCGATCGCATCTAGAAGAAGTCTCTCGTACGCATCTGGTATCTCTTTCGAGTATCTGACAGGACACAATTATTTGAACAATTTATATGTGGTGTCAGGAGAATATTCAGCAGATACTTATGAAACTTTTAAACAAGGAAAAAAACACAAGAAATTCTGAGCAAGTAGCTTATTATTAATACACAAGTTAGGACATTACATTCCACTTCTCCACAAAAACTCGGATCAAATTATATTAGTTCACTAGTAAAGAAAAAAGGACGTCAAATTAGCCACAAAGCTTATTCTCCTCAATTCCAGATTTCTAAAGAACTAGAGATATCTTGCTTAAGGAGAATCATAATCAAAGTAGAACAAAAGTTAAACAAATCTAGCGAAATCATAAAACTAAAGAAAACTATTCCATCATACAGAGTACAACGTGTCGTCTAAGTATCATAAAACCAAAGCAAACTATTACAACTGACGGTCTACTTAAATGGATCATAATCCTGAAGGCAAGTTTGGTTAAGTATTGTTATTAGTTATGACATTAATGCTCTTTCCCCACTCTATCTCCTTGAAATATTCCTTCATATTGTGAAGTTTGCTTTTAATTTGAGTATGGAACAGAAGCTCAAATGTTTGATTTGTATGTTTTACTCCTACTGCATTTTTCCCTCTCTTTTCTTCCTAGTGTGACTCAGGGAAAATGAATTCATCCAAAGTTCCGAACAACCGAAGCCAATTTATTCTTTTTTTCCTCTGAAAAACAAAAAACAAATTATGCATAAAAGCTCAACATAGAAATGATCCTTTAGCTTCTTGAATTGTACCCCGCCAAGACATATTAAAACGTATTTTTTAAAAATAATTGTACTATTGCAATCAAATATTATGTCCAACTCAATATCACTACAAACAACTTGAATAATATAAATATTATTGCTCCTTATCTCTTAAATTATAGTGTTTTCAAAGCATTTAAGCCCAGAAACTCGAAATGGATATGTAGACGTGTCCACGGTTCAGCCTGAACCACCGAACCGGCCTGGCCCGGAAGTCAACAGTTTCGGGCCAGGTCTGAACAGTTGACCACAGGCCTTGAACTGGACCATGTTTTAGAATCTGCGGACATCTTCGTAAGTTTCCATTTTATAACTCTAACCCTGATAGTATTTCACACATGGGGGTGTGATGTGATATAAAGAATTGTTGGATAATTCACCAGGCCAAGAGAAATTTTCAAAGCTTTTTAATAACAAGCAAACAGCTAAAAATTGGCTGATAAGAATGCAACACTATATAGATAGCTCAGATTTGATATCCATGAACAAATTGCATAAAGGTGTAGATTTAATGCAGGCATGACCATGAATATTTAATTTTTTATATAGAAATACCTCGCATTATAAAGAAGATTAAGATTACTTCGGTCCAATCTCATCCCCAATCCTGGAACTTTGTTATTGATCTTCAGATAAATAGCTTCATCAGGCTGAATACGAATCACGAGCTCATTTGTTGCTCGGTCTAGATCAGTACCAACGTTTCGGTTGTATAAATTACCAGGAACATGCCTAAACTGCACCCGTATTTCAGCCCTGCAAAGGTTCAGCAAGTAATCTATAAGAAAACAAGTTCACAACATACAACAAGATCTTTGCCTGTAAAAATAACATTCGCTAACCTCTTATCATGTAAGGCTTTCCCTGCTTTCATTAGGAAAGGCACACCATCCCATCTTGCATTATCTATAAAAAGTGCAGCCGCAGCAAAAGTCGGGGTTAAACTGTCTTTCGGCACTGTTTTGTCATCAGTGTATCCAGGGTGAGAGACACCTCCACGTGTGTTACTTTTATACTGTCCTATGATGACATCATTAACACTTAGAGGCCTCATGGAGCGCAAAACCTTAACCTGTCTTGTACAAAGAATATATTATAGTTCTATAATGAAACCAAATGAAGCAAAAAAAAAAATGCATATTTGAAATATTAAAATGAGCACCTTTTCATTTCTGATATCTTCAGCGTCCAAACTAACGGGTGTCTCCATGGCAAATAAGGCTAGTATTTGGAGCAGATGATTTTGCATAATATCTCTAATTATCCCGTAATGATCGAAATATCTGGTACAACACAAGAAGCATTTACAATCAGAAAAGTTCCCAAATAATACTTGTTCCACTGAACAATTGAAAAGACCAATTTACCCTCCTCTTCCTTCGGTGCCAAAGTCCTCTGAGAAAATCAACTGAACATTTCTTATATACTGCCTCGACCATAGGGGCTCAAATATAAGATTTGAGAAACGTAGGACTGAAAGATTCTCCACAAGCTCTTTACCAAGGTAATGATCTATCCTGTAAGCAAAGGGAAAAATAAAAGGATAAAATTAGTATAAGCATGTCAAATACTTGATAATTCCTTCACTTGGATATAACAAAGTCACCTGAAAATTTGATCCTCCTCTAAGTATTGCTTTAGAGCACAAGTCAAAGCAGCTGAGGATTCGGAATCACGCCCGAAAGGTTTCTCAACAATGACTCGAGTCCAACCATTAGACGCAGAGGCAGAGAGACTGGCACATTTCACAGCATCAACAAATATGTTTGGTGGGATTGATAAGTAAAATAGCCGGTTTGAAACCCTTCCATCCTAAAAACAATCACATATTTATTAAAAAAAAGAATAAAAAAAAAAGTAAAAAAGAGAAGAATTTTACTACAGCCATCACAATGACGTCCTACATGCAAAAGGAATTTGTATCCCATTCTTGACCTAAGACGTTGCTATCGTATGAAACATTATCATTATTTTTACAAGTTGCTGTAAATGATACTAATCCCATGTGTTTGTATGTAAGAGTATAGTTAAAAGCTTACAATTGAGTTCCTAAAAGTATCAAGGCACAAATATGAGAAGTAATATCAGAATTAGTTTATTATAGATCCACACAATTGGTCAAGGAAGCTTTTCTGGAAATCACTTGAGAAATCACCCATGGACATAGATACAAATCTCAATGAAAATATAGTCAAAACAGAAAAGAGAAGACGATTTGTTTCAAAATTAGTCCAAAAGCATGTATGAGTTACACACTCCTGAGTGCCAACTATTACACGAATGTCAGCAGAAACTAGTGAACACGTCTTCAAAACATAATACCTCATGCTCCTTGAGCTTCCCATCAAGCTCCACAAAATTTTCCAAAGAATCGTATTGACCAGAGTGGTAGAAACATCTTTTCAAGAACTGTTCCATCTTTTCTCCACAATTTTCCCTGAATAACAACTTTATATTAAAATTTGAAAAGGAGTGGCAATAATAAAAATCACTAGAAAAATGTGAACCCAGGAACTACCTCTTATCTATTCTGCAAGTAAGTGTCTTGCTAACCATATTTCGCAGTTCTGCATCAGTCATCTTACTACGAGCATAACCGAAGATAGTAAAGTGCTGAGGCCAGTGGAGAAGAGTTAAAATTACACAACACTTGCAGACAAATCTAACTGCTCGTGCATGAAAAAAATGAGGCATGGTAGCATAAAGGTGAAGCAGACCTGAGGAAGGCAGTCCTCGTAATAAAGTGCAAAAAGGGCAGGAAATATCTTTTTCTTGGCAAGGTCACCAGAAGCCCCTACAACAGTAATACTAACAGTGGTCGAGTTATCGCCATTTACATTTGAATCTTGCAGCTTTGCGCCTGGGTCCTCTGGAGATGAAATGGATATCAAGCCCTCTTTCGATTTCATGTGAGAAGCTTCCTTGCTTGCAGCCGTTTTAGTAGCCACAACACCTAGGATTTCGCAGGATTTAGTAAATCATAGCAAATATGAGAGAATACAATGTTACAGAGTTAACTGCGTATAGTATTGCAATTTGTATCATAATCATTACACAAAATTTAAACAAGGGAAAAAATGAGCAGCAATTCATAGTATGAAGTATTGCAACATTGTTATGATTTATCACGTTTCCTCTCTCTCTCTCTCTCTCTCTCTCTCTCTCTCTCTCTCCCTCCCTCCTTTCCTCTCCCTCTCTCTCTCCCTCCTTTTCTCTCTCTCAATATATATATCTCTGTGTGTGTGGCATGTGAGCTGCAGTAAGTAAAAGAGCCAAAGCTGAAATTTCAAGAATTTCTGGCGACATAGTTACCTTTTTCAACTTTCTGAATTCTAACAAATTTCAAATGGAACACACATATTTCAGTTTATAATTTCTACAAAATCAGAATCAAATAAATCAATAACAAGATAGTGATAATAGAAAATCAACCAGTAAAACAGGGGAGAGAAGGAGGAAGAATCATTAAAAACCCGAAAATTGCTGAATTATAGCATTAATTTATCAATTTAAACAAAGAAAATGTACAGAAAGGAACAGGTGAATAAATTCTAGGACACACAAACCAACCATCTTGCATGACAATCACATTAGACAAAGAGCTGCACTTGGATTGCAGATTAAAAGTTTTTCTCTGAGGAGTCACTGAACTAGAACTATTTTTGTGAAGCGGATGAAGCCCAATCGAATAAGTAGAGGACGAAGTTGATGAAAAAGATGCGCAGTGGTTTGACGAAGGTACTCCGGCCATCATCTCAACTTTTTTCGTCGGAAAATTTCCTGTTAGGAACAAGAGTTTAATAGTATCAATTTCATTACATTAGACTTCTACTTTTCAATTAAGATTGGAAATGAGACTTCCGTAATGCCTTTCCAAGGAGTCACCCCTGAATGGAATTTGAGGAATTAACAACTTGGTGTATGGTTTATGAACCCTGCATTTAATGTAAATTCTCGACAGGCAATGTACAAAAATAGGGACGACGAAGTGAATTCATCCGAGAAGATAGCTAACCGGCGACAGCAGGGGGGATTAGCTTCGACGGCGAGGCGGTGAGGAGACGAACGCGTGCCGGCGAGACGGCGAGCGATGAGGTGATAGCTTCCATTTTCAATCACGTGGAGGAGGGATAACTGGGAGCCGATCTGGCCGTCGGAGAAGCAATTGCCGGAGAGCGGATACCGGAGTTATTGAGGGAGGGCTGGAAGGGGACTTGGTCGAAGATGGTGGCCAGGAAGACGACGATTTAGCCCGTTTTGACTGGCACACTATCGACCCTCGAGAACTCCGAAGGGCTGTATTTTTCTGCATACCGTTTGGGCTTTGTCAAGACTCAAGAACGTGAGGGACGAGCTACATTTTTTATTATTTTTTATTTTGGGTAAAATGTTGTAATATTAAATAATTAAAAATAATGCAAACCTTGTGGCATTTTTAGAATTATAAAAAACAACTGAATTGATTTTGCAATTAGTCCAAAACCTCGAGGTCACTTTACTATAAATGAAGAGTGATCTCAGCGAGCTATAAAGAATAAACCCAGAAATATTCTTCGAAATTAAAGCTTAACACTGTGTAAAAATAAAAACTAAGTAAAAACCTTCTATTTTCAGAAGCTCAACACTGTGCACGCTCTTCAAGAAAAATGGAAGCTCTATTGAACTCAGAACGAGTCCTACCTCCGATTGCAACCCTGAGAATCAAACCCGCAATCAACCCTACGAAAACCCTTTTCCGGCTTCCCCTTCCGCCGTCTAAACGATGTCGTTCGATAAAATCAGTTCTGGATTCAGCTGCCGTCGACGAGCTATCCGATGTCCGAAATCCGTCGGTCTCGACGTCTTATCGAAATCCAAGGATCTCAAGGCCCAATCAGACCGTTTTGGATGCGCAGACGAAGGTCTGCACGGGCCCCACCCAAACCAAGCCTCTCAATGCGGAGCAAGCTTTCAAGGTTCTCGACACCATTTTGAAATCCGGTACTTGTCCAGTTTAGTACTTGTTGTTTCTATGATTTTGAGCTGCTTCCTTTTATTTTGATGGAATATGGACAACAATTTTGTGAGGAATGAGAGGATCAATGGATGCAATAACAATTTGACCTCATTTTTTTCAGTTAAGGGAGAGCTTAAGGATGAAAATGAAGTGTCGAAAGTACAGCTTGGAGCCTTTTTTGCCGCCATGACGATCCGGGCAAACGCTTTTCCCGAGCCAACTCAGTGGAGTGAAGGCGAGAGGCGGGCCATGACTTATTTCTGGCCCCACTTAGTGCGCGTGCTGCCTCCCGATATTATCTTCTTGGCTGATCCTGAGGAGTCAATCATGGGGGTCGGAAGCTCGATTGGGCCCCGGTTTGTGGGCAATGGAACTTCTGAAATGAGGCTTGTGGGTGCCCTAAGGGAGGTTCTTGCTGGGGCCCACCTGGGGTATGAGGAAGTGCAGGGTGTATTGAGGGATGTTCTTCCCTTGAGTTTGGAAGATGAGAAATCGGGAGGGATGAGCGAGTCTTTGCTTTCGGCTTTCTTGATTGGACAGCGCATGAATAGGGAGACTGATCGTGAGCTCAAAGCCTATTGCCTTGCGTTTGATGATGAACTTGGTAATCTTTTCAGTTGCTTGTTTTTGGTATTTAACTCTCTCTCTCTCTCTTTTGGGATTTCTATGGCTGCTATTGGATAACGTGATAAAAAAGAATTTGGAAATGTGAAAGGGTATGAGATGAATAATATAATGATATGTAATGATTAAACATTGATGTGGTATGAAAATAATAACACAAAGATTGGTAGGGAATTGTGTAGCTATGATTGGTTTTNTGATTGATTAGTGAAAGTGTGAAACAATGAGAATTGATGGATATCAATGAAATGGAAATTGAAATTTTGTAGATCCAAATTACTTTCCAATTTTTCTTAAATATTATTTTCTCTTTCAGGTCCAGCGCCAGTTGCTGATATTAGATCTTTGACCCATTACGGAGAGCCTTATGATGGTAATACACGCTATTTTAGGAGCACGCTTTTTGTTGCTGCTGTTAGATCATGCTATGGTGAATCTTGCCTGCTTCACGGTGTGGATTGGATGCCGCCTAAGGTTGTACCTCCATTTTCTTCCATTTTCCTTTTTGTCTTATTGATAAGACAAATTATTGTCATCCATCTAATTATGATGATTCTATTTGATATAATTCGATATGCTTAGATGTCATGTGTAGATCTCTTATTTAGCAACCGAATTTATTACAGGGAGGCATTACAGAAGAGCAAATGCTAATGTTTATGGGTGCAAACACGAAATTAACACCCATGCAGGCTAAAAGGCTTCTTGAGGTCTTTCTCCTCCTATCCTCTTATATAATTGTGTGCTTTTTGATCAGGATCGCTTTAGGAGATAATTGTCCAAGTTTTCTTTTTATGACCCTTTTTTTTTTTCAGGACGAAGATGTTGGTTTTGCTTACATAAGTCAGCGCGAAGTCCAACCATCTCTGTATGCCAATCTTTCTCCTTTCCCGACACTTGTAGAAATATCGTGCTAGAGTCTCAGTAACAAAAAGAAAATGGGAAGTATCTTTCAAAAATATATTGTAGAATAGTTGGTCCTGTTCTTTTAATTTAAATGCAAAAACAGAGTATCCAAATATTTACAATGTATTTATAAAATTACAACGCTTTTGGGGCTAATTTGGTTGGTATGAGAACTTTTCATGCACAATCTGTTCTGCTCTTATTGTATTTAACCTTGGTCTGTTTGGCATAGGTGATCGTCAAATCTTAAATCCTTAAATATCTTGACGAAGATTTCAAAACCTGGGTTTTAATTGTGATGATGCTTTATTAGTCGTTGCTGTGTGTATCTTATAATGTTCGCTGAGAATTGTGAAATTTGGCATATTATAAAATCATTAGTGTTCGAAATGGAAGTGAACTGTGTTTTGGTTCATGTGAATCACATTTTACCAGATACTCTTTGATTGGGTTGAGGGAACATATAAAGAAACGTCCACCGATTGCCACAACCGAAAAAGTTCAACGGTTTGTACGGGTAAAAAAGTGTCTAATGATAATGTTGATGTATTATCTATTATCTCTTAGCATGAGTATGAATTATGCTTTTCGTTACTTGGTGAATTTTGCTAATTACTCCATAGGCTAAGGGTAAGGAAGCTTTTGTTGCCGGATTTTATCATGAAGGTTATGAGGAGTCACTTCTGATGCTAATGAGAAGAAGAGGTGTCCATTCAGGCTTGGTGGTCAAAGTACTATAATTCACAAGGCATTTTTAAGTGGATTTTTTTTTTTTTTTTCTTTCTTTGTTTTTAATCATTCCTTGTTTTACGAGATGATTAATTGGGACCCGGATTTATAAATTGATTTGCGGATTTCAGGGCGAGGAAGGTGCTCTTTCAATGACTACAAGATTGAGATCACCAAATGCATCAAAGGGCTTACCAGTTAATTACTGTTCGGGTTTTCGCTCGTTTAATGTGACACCTTCTACAGCAGCTGATGGTGTGTCTTTTTTTTTCCCCCTTTTCTAATCCTACTCAGTTAGACCTGCTCGAAGAATATGGTTTTAATTCTAATTCTAATTTGCGGATTATGGTTTTATTTCTAATTTATAGGCGTCTCACGTGAGAGTTTCAATCTTGTCGTGAATGCAAGTGATTACGGCTTTGAACCATCTGATACTCCAAGAACAGATAGATCTGTAAGTCTTCAAATCCTTTTCCTTTTTTTTTTTTCCATTTTTATTTTATTCTTTTCTCTCGTCAACTCACGGATTGTACTGATTGGGAGGAAAATGTATCGAGTCATTCAAATTAGGAATGAACAATGAAACTAGCCGACTCAATTACACCTCAAGAGTATTTTATGACCTTGAGGTTCTAAATGTAGTTTTTTTATCTGTTGTTTAGTGTTATTAACTGTTATTAACTGATACTTTTGAACTTCGTATTAACTAGTCAAGCAAAATGTCCCTAATCGTGTTTCAAATTTTAAGTGCTTGTTTGGGAGCACTTCTGAAAAAGTCCATTTAAGATATGGAGTTATCCAAAATGGACTTCTCCAAAAGTCTGCATCATTTACTTTTACAGAATGGACTTTTTGGAAAAACAACTTATTCATAAGTCCATTCTTAATTTAGCACCAAACATAAATATTTATCCAAATGGACTTTTGCATCCAAAAGTCCATTTAAAAAGTGTTTCCAAACAAGCTCTAAATCATCGGAACAAATGGTGTTAATCATGGGTCATACGTGAAAAAATCTGTCACTGCAACTATTTTTCGTATTCAATTGTGTCCAGAGAACTTTCCAACTTTTCATTCCTTTTCAACTCTAATTTAGTTTCTTTTTTTCTTTTCTTTTTTTTTTTTTTT